GGTTTTCTTCAAAGCATAATAATAACTGTTTAACTGAGCAACGTTTTCCTAAATTGACCATCGTGGTATCTTCTGTGGTTTCGGAGAGCCGTACGACAGACATTCTTATCATGGACGCAGTGTATAGTAAATTCAATGGCAGTGTATTATTTTGTGTTACACCCAATAAAACTCATCCATATCCGTACCATTATTACTTGTTAACAATCCTCGAGATAGTTTATAACTTTGTATTGCTGTCTGCCTGTCTGTTCGTGTGTATGATAACTTTGTTTGGAAACAGCCATCACTTTGAAAATTGGTACACATGTTCTTAAATATATATAAGAAAAGTCGCTGTTCACCTACGTACACTATCAGCTCAAAAATTTACAGTCCAAAAACGAACTCGAGGATCGTTCGGTATTCAGTTGTTTCAAGTTTCAAGTGCGCGCCGTCGTAACGAGTGGTCGATCGCGATTATAAGTGTCAATTAAGAATAGAACTAATTTGTTAACATAAACCAAATCGTAAGGGTGAGTACCACCCTTACTTGCCGCCGCAATGCCAACTGCTATCTGTGGTGTTTGTCGGGTGGATCTTAATCGTACAGATAAAGTTATTCTTTGTTCTAGTTGGTGCCAAACTTACTTTCACACGAAGTGCGTTAAAGTCAGTGACGATGAAGTTAAATTTATTAACTCAAAAAAGAACTTTAATTGGTTCTGTGACCCCTGCGCTATCCACGAATCACACAGCCTCAGGAATATCTTGACTAACATTAACAAAGTGACGATGAACTGGGATAGAGTTATGGAAAGTCAGCACGAAAAACTGATGAACCACGAGAAGCTATTAAAGGATACTTTAGACCAGGTAAATACCCAAAATGTCAGCATCAGCAAGGATCTAGCGCAAGTTCTCCAAACTCAATCTGAAGTGAAGCTTACTTATGCGGACAAGTTGAAACAGAAAACCTATGACCCAGTTATCATTGTTAAGCCCAAGGACGCGAACCAACCCTCCAAGCAAACCTTCACCACCCTCAAAGAAAATATCGGATCCAATTACCCGAGAAGTTACCGGAATGAAAACTCTACGTAGAGGAACCATTGTTGTTGAATGTAAAAATAAAGAAGCTGCAGCCAAACTTAAGGAGGAAGCCGAAACGAAACTGGGATCCGACTACATTCTTTCCTTACCAAAACAGAAGATGCCGAAGATTAAAATCGTAGGCCTCAATGACAAGATCGGGAGTACCCAAATGAAGGAAATGATTCTCGCGCAGAATCAATTCCTCGACGAAGCCGCGTACATAAACGTCGTACACATAACGGAAGATAAAAGAAATCCTAACAGGTATTTGGCTTACGCTGAGGTTGACGGTAATAGTTACCGGAAAATTCTAAGTGAACAAAAGCTTAACATAGGATGGGACCGTTGCAGAATTTATGATGCTGTGACAACTAGAAGATGCTACAAATACAATGAGTTCGGACATAAGGCAACTGACTGTAGCAAAACTACTACCTGCCCCAAATGTGCGAGAGACCATGACCTAGCGAGCTGTAAAGCTTCGGACGCGGAAATCAAATGCAGTAACTGTGCCAACGCCACTGAGAAACTAAAAATGAAACTGGATGTACAGCACCCGGCCTCGAATGTTGATTGCCCAGTCTACAAAAAACGACCCGATCAAGAAAGAAGCAGAATTGATTTTTTAGGCCATCCCCAACACTAATCAAGCAAGGAAATAGGTACGGATCAACGCTCTCAATCTATTATCAGAACGTAAGTGGAATGCGAACGAAAGCGCAATCTTTCAAAAATAAATTCGCAATTACAAATTACGACATTATTCTACTGACTGAGACCTGGTTAAAGGAAAATTTTCATGACGCTGAGTATTTCAACAATCAATATGCGGTCTTTCGCAATGACCGTAATTACGAAGAAATGAAGTGTACCATGGGAGGCGGAGTTTTAATCGCAGTCAAGACCGATTTGAATGCTGAAAAATTGGAATTTCAAAGAGATCTAAATGAAATATGGGTCAAACTTAAAATTAATAATACTTCATGTAAGCGCTGCGCGGTTAGGGAGAGCGGGGAATCTCGACCGGCACTCGGACGGCGCGGTGATCGGCAGTATCCGACTTGCGGTGGCACTCCTCGCATCTCTGTTCAGTTAAATTTTTACTTTCAGAGTATTATACGAATTAATTAATTAATTATTGAATAATAAATGGTTATTGGGAACTCGTGTGTTTTACATTCATACATTCTTGGTGTTGTCTACTTTCAACCGAAATCTGGTATTGATAAGTACGTAAGTTTTACCAAAAGTTTAGAAACAATTGAAAACATGTTGCATTCATCGGAAGTTTTAATAGCAGGCGATTTTAACCTACCACAAATTGTTGACGCCACGTATAATTTCGAAAACGCGAGTGCTAAATGCAAAGTAATTAAAAATATAGCTTCGATGTACAACTTAAAACTCATTAATACGGTTAAAAACTGCAATAATAGAACCCTTGACCTAATTTTAACTAACTTAAACGCGGAAATTAAATCTGCTGTCGACTCACTGGATAAAATTAATCCACTTCATCCTGCACTAGAAATAGTCTACAAAGTCCATAGACCAGCTAAGCGAATTACCAAGTTAACCAACTTTAATTTCAAAAAAGCAGATTTTCTTAAAATGTACGTCCTTTTTCGCGATATTAATTGGAAGGAGTCTCTTATCCTGAAGAATTTCAAATCGGTAGATGATGCAGTAACTAGCTTTAATCAAATGGTAATGAACATTTTCGATGAATGTGTCCCCAAAGTTACAATTAGGAGTGCCAATAAGTATCCTAGCTGATTTAATATAGACATTATTAAGAAAATCAAACAGAAAAATAAGTTTCGATTACAGGGCCAATCGGAAGACTTCATTGAAGCCAGAAAAGAACTCAAAAGAATGATCCACATTGCTCATAAGAGGTACATTAATCAAATTGAAATGGATCTGCGGAAGAATTCCAATAAATTCTGGAACTACATCAAGTCGTTGAGGAAGAATAGTCAACTACCTGGAGTTTTTGAGTACAAAGACTCCTCGTTAACGGACGCCAGAAGCATTGCGGACGCCTTTGCATCCTTCTTCGAGTCAGTCTACACTATGGAGAGGAACGATGACCCGGAAGATGACGTGGAATCGGACCTGGTGCTATCCAAATTGCACTTGACTCAGTTACATGAATCCGAGATACTGGAAGCAATTAAAAAATTGAAACCGAGGTCGGCTATAGGCGAAGATGGAATCCCACCCTACATCGTGAAAGGATGTGCATCTTTATTGGTAACCCCCTTACAACATCTATTTAATTTAGCTTTGCAAACATGTACATTCCCTGAAGCTTGGAAATGCACCAGAATAACACCAATTCACAAAAGTGGAAGCCGAAAATTAGTTGAGAATTATCGCCCAATTGCAATTATACCAGCAATAGCGAAAATTTTCGAAAGAGTGATCTATACTAGACTTTATTCCCATCTCAGCAGAATAATTGCAGATCAACAGCACGGTTTCACGCGGAACAAATCAACGATTACCAATTTAATGCAGTTTACGCATTTCTCAGCAGGAGCCTTGGATGAGAGAGCCCAGGTGGACTGTGTTTATACAGATTTTGCGAAGGCATTTGACACAGTATCCCATCAAGTCTTGCTCCGTAAACTTGTTTTAAATTGCGTAAGTAATCCGACCGTCAAATTCTTGAAATCATATTTATCTCTCCGTAAAACAAGAGTGAAATTCAATGGTGTGAATTCAGCCGAATTTTATCCCTCATCAGGCGTTCCCCAGGGAACACTTCTTGGTCCTTTTCTGTTTCTCTTATACATAAATGATTTACCGCGAGTGATAAAAAACTCGAAAGCACTACTATTTGCGGACGACCTAAAACTTTTTAATAAAGTCCAATCCCCAAGTGACTGTTTAAATATTCAAGAGGACATTAACTCAGTAATTAAGTGGTGTATCAAAAATAAACTAAAACTAAATATCAATAAGTGTAAAGTCCTTACTTTTACTAGATCGAAGAATCCCTTACTTTTTGACTATAAGATGAATGGAAAGGTCTTACTACGAGTCACCTCCGTTAAGGACCTGGGCGTGTTTTTCTATAACAACCTTAACTTCAACTTACACATTGAATACCTAACAAATGAGTGTTATAAACTTCTTGGTTTCGTTATCAGAAATACACTCAATTTCACGAATATACAGACAATGCTAACCTTATTTAATGCGTTTATTAGATCCAAGCTTGAGTATGCTGCATGTATCTGGTCTCCTCAAACTCTCAAATACTCAGACATGATCGAAAAAGTGCAGAAAAAGTTCATCCGAGTAATGTTTTTTAGGTCAACCCAAAATTATCCACATTTGATCTCTTACGGTACCCAGCTTAATTACTTAAATAGTACTTTCGGCTTAGATATAACGAGGTTAGAAACCCGACGGTACATTGCCTCCACAATTTTTGTCTTCAAAATTTTACACAACTTGTTATACTCTTCCGAATTACTTCAAGAAATTAAGCTTAAGGTACCATTTGTTAAGCTGAGGCAAAATAATACTATTTTTGTAGTTAACAACACAACTTCCCCACTTATTAAGATCTTGATCACTTTAAATAAGTTATCCTCAGTTAATGATATCGACTTTTTTCACGATCCCCTAAATTCAATAATAAATAAAATTAGATCTTAAGCCCTAATATTTGTTCAGAGCCCCAGTGCCATGTAGTTGGAATTTTTATTCTGTATGGTTTCTGGTTAAATAAATAAATAAATAAATAAATAAATAAACGGACATTTGAGTTATAAAATCATCTTCTTATCAAAAAGACTTTTAAAGCATATTAACCCAGAAAGACGTTTCAAAAACGATGCGCACTTTCGAAATTAATGTTTTTGATAACATAAAATAACACTATGTGCTATGGTAAGTTGATGTTAACTTACCCGTTTCGAACGTATTCATGGAGTCCGTCGGTAGCCATCGGCTCCACATCTTCCCAAGCTCCTTGCGCGGCGTGGGATCATCGTGGCCTAGTGCCGGAAACACAAATTGAGAACTAAACGTTTTTCCTAACAAGTCTGTCAAATTTTGTAGTAACTGCACTTGCTTTCTTTCTTGAATTCGCTTCGACGGATGAGAAAACGCGTGTGATAACGCATCCCTGTAATGAAAAAAGCGCCATGTTTTATTCAGTCATAAACCTAACAAAATGGGGGATAAACAAACGAGGGAGTCTCTAACGGTATATACAGCAATTTTGCTTTTATATGAGTAACACAGCCATAAAAATTTGCGGTTTAAAGAGGAAAGCGTTTATTTTATTTAGTTTTTATGGTGTTAAACGCATAAAGTTTGAAATAGAGAGAAGTAAAGCATTTCATTATAACATATATCATTATTCTGGGAGTGTTCACATGTTAGTGTCGCCTGCAGCAGGACGTAATAGAATCAAACGTGCCGTGCCTCGTCGCTTCAAGCAGACTTTCAGCGTCGCGGTAGTTGAAAAGACGGTCATCACGTATTGTGTATTTTCCTCAAGTATAAATGTCAAAAGTCATCAAAATTTTATGTCTAAAATATCTAAAAATCATATCGTTCCCGAGCATTTCCTTCGATTCAATTGTGCGAAGTGAAAGGATTTGATTATGTTAAAGCTGCCATATAAAGGAAATGACCGTTTTATTTTATATTACAGAAATCTTTGTATCCAACGAACACGTTAATGATATCGCTTAAATCTCAAATTTACGACTACTAATAAAAGTAACTGACTAAAATCCATTATGATAGCAGACCTTATCGATTATTGATGCGGCAGCTGTGACCAGAATTTTCTCACTTAGAGCGATTTTTGAATAGAGGAAATTTTATTCGCAACGTAATCGTGTAACTTGAAATGTGATTTAACGTAACGTTCCGCTAAAAGTTAAGGCGAGTTCAAAAACTTTGAAAAATAGTTGGGGCGTGACGATTGTATTTGCCCTGGTAAGAGTTTGGATAATATCTGAATCGCTCGCATTAAATTTAAACAAAACGCGCCTAAATAAAGTAATAAAAATTCATAATGCACAATCTAGGGAAGTATTCTTATTTTTTACTCGTAGGGAAGGTTCGACAGGGAATCTCCACTAGTTGAAATTTGACAGTGGGTGGTGGATGGTTTATACCACATATATTAATTTTGACAAATCGGAAACTGCAAGACGCAAAACTCACTCTTGCAGAACATTCCGATACGCATCAAATATGATTAATAACGGAAAACATTTTAAGAAACTTCGTTGGTTTATTTCATCTCAGGAAAAAACAAAATGAGTGATGTTTTAGGCCACAAGTATACCATTTGTGCGAGCCGTGTCGCCTTATCTGTTCCATATTTGTGTTAGCGGTTCAGTAGGTACCTATTAGTAGTTAATTTGACATCACAATACACCTAATCCATCTTTTCATTGTAAGCAAACGACAAATGTGGAGTTGGAACAAAACGATCTGAACGATAAGTAACAGTCAGTTCCTTGCATTGAAGCTGCATTGACCTAAAACACCGGTTATAAAACTTTCATACTATATTAATAATAATAATAATAATAATAATAATATATTTATTGCCTGTGATCAATATACATTGACATAGACATAGTCACTAATATTAACAAAAACACATTAAAAAACACGTTAAAAAACACATTAAAAAACACATTAAAAATATGTCGTATCACAGTTGGTTAATATAAATCACAGTGTATACAAATCGCTTGTTTTATAGAAACAATTGTGCACTAAAAAACTTTTTAGTGCCGTTTTAAATGCCATGTCGCTTTTCAAATTTTTAATAGTAGATGGAAGGGAATTATATATTTTTATGCAATTGTACAATGGTCCTTTTTCGAATTTGGTCGTACGGTGAACGGGAATAGTGAGGATATCAGAGTTTCTTGTCTTATAGTCATGATTAGCATTCAATGGGGTAAAGTATTTAGGATTTTTATGGACAAACATGCTTGACTTATAAATATAAATGCTTGGAAATGTAAGCATTTTGATGGCAATAAAAGTGTTTTTATGTGAAGTTAGGGGCTTAATATTAAATATTAGTCGAACAAGTCTTTTTTGTAATGTAAATACTCTACTACACTCCCCAGCTGCACCCCATGCTATTACACCGTATGCTAGATGGGGTATGCCAGAGCATAGTATATTGTGAGTAGAGCGTTTTGATCTAAACTCGATTTTAAGTTTAACAGCACATAAAAAGTCTTGTTAAGTTTTTTACAAACATGGTCTATTTGTTGGCGCCACGATAACTCATCGTCAATAAAAATACCCAAAAACTTTGCACTGAGTCTTATATTGGTTTCATTTGATGGCCTCATCTTCCCAAACTGGAGACATACGGTCTTTTCAACATTTAAAACAAGTTTATTTACACAACACCAGTTTTTAAATTCCTTCCTGGCAAGATTGGTTAAAGTAAGTAAATCATTTGAGGTATCGGCCGAGACCACAATTGTAGTATCATCAGCGAAACCTACCAATTTACCAATTTTTACGAACTTTGGAAGGTCAGCACAGTATAACAAAAATAGCAGAGGACCAAGCACTGATCCTTGAGGAACACCCAAAGATACTTCAAACGTCCTAGATGGCACATTTTCTATGTCCATGTATAGTTGTCTTCCCGTCAAGTATTGTGTTTAATAGGAATATTTATAGTAATTATGTTGTAGATCACCCATGTAAAAAATGTAGGGTACCTATATAGCCACAGACAACATAATATGCTCTGTGCTATAGCGTAGTGTTTCTCAACGGGGGACATGACGTATTTCTTGGGGGCCACGAACGGAAGACAGAATATTGGTACACGGAAACTTTTCATTGGGCCACGAAAATTCGCTTCTACAATATCTTACTGAAATATTTACCAAAAATAGTCGGTATACAAACATACCACAATAAACCCTTCTCCTTGTTTGTGTTATCTTAGTGTACCTTTCCTAGAAAGCAATAAATCCTAATCACAATAGTTTAAATTTAAATGTTTATAAAATGCAAACGCACACTGCAATTGATAGACGCGATACCGGAAAATGTTTGTTATTTTTTTCTAACACACCCGTATCGCCTACCAGAATTATTTTTCTGTAGCGATAACTGTTTCTACAACTTTCAAAGACGCATTTAAAAAAAAAATGTCAGCGTCAAAACAAAATGAACTTGAAAATCGAGAACTACAAAAATAACAATTAATTCTGATCTAATTCTAAGGTGTAAATATTGACTACTAAAATTTAAAAACATTTCCCGGGGTATGCCCCCCCCCCCCGACCTCCGGCCTAATGCGGAGGGCGGCCACATAGATAAATAACATTCACAAATAGGCCACCAGTAAAAAAAAGGTTGAGAAACACTGCTATAGCGTATGAATCAATGAATTCTTAGCGCATTTCCACAAAAATAAAAGGAAATGCGCTACCACTTTGTCCGCCCGTTCGTCCGTCCGACCGTCTGTTCGTCCGTCCGTCCGTCCGTCCGTCCGTCCGTCCGTCCGCCCGCTCGTTCGTTCAGACGCTACTAGTTCTTTATCTTAAAAGCTATTGTACTACTTTTTTCGCTATTTGGTTCCATAATTTGAAACTTTTGCCGTCTATTAACGATCCTAGAGATCGTTTATAATTTTGTATTGCTGTCTGTCGTCTGTTGGTCTGTCCGTCTGTTCCTTTGTCTGTGTATCCCTCTATCTGTCCGTGAGAACGATAATTTTGTTTAGAAATGTCCGATCGCTTTTAGATCTCCGTTAGTTATGAACTGAATTGCATGAAATTCAATATGGGCATAGCTTTAGCCATATAATACGCAATGCCAAAAGTTGGATCGAATCGATTCAAAATTCACAGTGCCCTTTTCGCATCTCGACCATTTATAAACCGAATTGCAAACTTTTTTATTTATAAAAATATTTGAATGAAATTTTATACATAGGCAATTGGAATAAAGGAAAATCTAACGCCAGTTTCAAAATTTAGATTTACGCATGCGCAGTTCCAACTTTCTTATTTAGGAAACCATTGAAATGAAATTCTTCTTATAAACAGAAATTGAAGTAGCACGTCAAAAATAGATTGCACATGTGCAACGCTATCTTCCATATTTGTGGCCCGATTTTTACGATTTTAACAGAAGTGGCATCTAACAAATGGGAAATGAATACAAGTGGAAATGCGCTTTTTGTAAATCGTTTACGATTACTTTTTAACTTATTTTTTATTGTATCTCTTTCTGTTTCATATTAAACTTCTTGTCATACCTTTTATATAGGTAATCACAGAGATATTTTGGAGGCTTCGAAGCTTTCGAACAAAAAAATCAAAATCAGTATATTCGCCTTCCTGGTTACTCAGAGCAAACAAATAGATCATCACAATTAAATCTTCCAACCCTCGTTTCTAAATATCTTTATGTCTATAAAAAGACTGTGCGATGGTAGCTTTCTATTTGGATATAAGTTTTTTTCAGTTTTGCGTAGCAATAAGTAAAGTAGACATCGTCAGGTTGTGAAAAATTTGGCGAGTCAAAATTATTTTTCACCAGATAAATATTGGTATTGGTATCATCTGCAAAGAAATAGATTGGTTGATTGCAGTTCAAAAACACTATATTTATTTTTTGCGTAGTTTGTTGTCTGTATTCGTTAATCTCTTTAGGAAGGGAGATGTTGCTTTGGAGTCTGACAATTATCTCAGATTTCACTTTCTGAATGGGAAATATTCAATTACATGACCGAACCTGTAGGTCGAAAAGGACTCCATGTTTGCGCCGTGAAACCTCGTGTTAGATTTTTTGAATTGCGTGGGATTAATTAACGACTCTAAAACCATCTGAATAAACCCATTATCTGGCCGAGTATAATTACGTGAATAACTATTACTATGCGCCCCACGTAGAGCGCCAAATAAAAATCCCATATGCAATAGCAAACGATCACTAAACCACTTACAAGCACCTGTCCAGATAGCTCAATTACTAACAAAATCTTTAAATGAAATAACTATAATTTTTCTAGGGCACGTCCAGCCACCGCCATGTTCGTCATCTCTATATTGACGTAAATTTTATGAATTCGAAAAATTCACCAGGAATATAAACAATAAACACATTCCCGGAGGAACATTTTGTTTTCGTTAATTAAGAATAAATAAATAGAATA